TTCCGAGGTGGATGAAATGAGGACCCAGACTATGGGGGTGATATGCTGACTCTGTAAACCGCTTAGAGAGGGCTGAAAGCCTTATGAAGCGGTATATAAGTCAAACTGCTATTGCTATTGCTACTTTCTTAACTTCCCCGTTTTGGGGAGGGTCTTTTTACTAGCCTCAGGAGCCTTAATCCTACATCATCCTCTCGCTCTGCATATGTATCCCCTTCCAATCCAGCTGCAGGCAGGCAGGCAAGATTCAGCCACACAGGCTTCAAGCAGATGCAAAAATCTTCCTCTGCATACCTTGGGGAGATGGTGAGGGGGGGAGGGCTGACTGTATGTTGCTGGATTGAAAGCAGCCCTCCAACGTGGAAACAGACTGAGATTTAAAGGTGTTCGGTTTCTTTGAGTTAGATCATCAGGAAAGCAATGTGAATTAAAAGTACCTTAAACCGCTGCATTGGAAATGCAACATTTTCTGCCATGTGCAAAACGATCATGTTGACTTTTCTCAATTTTGTTCACCGTAGCCAGGTTTCATTCTCTGTGGCCAAAGTCACTCAAGTGAAAGCTTTTATGCCAGTGTTTCTCAACCTTGGTAACTTTAAGTCCTGTGGACTTCAACACCTAGAATCCCCCAGCCAGCAGAGCAGAGCTGGCTGGGGAATTCTGGGAGTTGAAGTCCACAGGACTTAAAGTCGCCAAGGTTGAGAAACACTGTTCTATGCTCTGATCCTTTAACCTTCATGTGGGCTGTTCAATTTTGTATGAACGGTCCAGACCAAATGCAGAATATAAAGGGGCAAAGTGCAATCACAGCATAAATGTAACACATTCTTAAACCCAGCTTGTTGAAATACACAAAATTCATCAAAAGCACAGCCCCCATCCCTTTTTTTTGGGCATCAACACAACAGCTAACACAAGGGTTATGATAAAAGCATGTTCAGTCTTTTCATCCAAAGTTGGATTTTTAATGCTTTATTTTTTAAAAATGTAAACGTGGAAATACTTCTGATCTGAACCTAAGTGCGACTTTAATATTCTAATTTTATGAAGGTGTAGTAGATTTACTTTAATGTAACTAATTAACTTTTCTGGAGGCAGCTACCAATGCTGGTTTTAAAGGATGAGGATAATGTCTGCAGATCCGAAACCATAGGAAGCAGCAGTAATACTTTTTTTTTTTTTTTCAAATTGGCAACCGTAGATTACGGCTTATCCTGTAGCCAGTGCCACTTGTGATGCTAGGCCAGTGCCAGTGTGTCAAAGGGTTGGAATTGATACAGCTCATGAGTTAGTTATGGGTCATGCAACCTAATTCTGGCACAGCGAAAATTATGCAGCGGTTCTATATTAAGACACTGAAGTAAGCATATGGATTGTTCAAGAAATCTACTTATCTTTTCCATTGCTGTTGATTTAAGGGACAAAAAGTTGCTTTTCTTGTGGTGGGCAGCCATTGATACATGATAAAGAAACAAAAGATTATCTTGACGTTTACACCCTCTTGCGTTTCTCTTTCTTTTGGTTTTCTTGCATCATTGCATGATGGAATTGGCTGTGCTTTTTAAAACCAAATTTGAACTTTGGAACAAAGTCAGAGGAAAGTGTCCCATATTGGGTTATATAAATTCATACTTTATCACCCTGCCATGGGAACAAACTGGTAGCTAGAACAAACTGACTCGCATCGACCTGGGTACCTGAGAGACCGCCTCCTGCCGATTACCTCCCATAGACCGATCAGATCCAACAGTTTAGGTCTCCTCCGGATTCCATCTGCCAGCCAATGTCGGCTGGCGACCCCCCCGGGG